AAATTATTTCATTGTCCCCAATACCCAGTTGCTCTATATAAGTAATACTGTGTGAAGGAAAAACTAAAACGAGACTGAAGCTCATGAGAAAGCACTAAGTCAAAGCGAGGCTTATATGCGGATATCGTAAGTGAGAGTTTTCAGGCTGACATGGCCGTGAATTGATTTGTGCCATTCACAGCTTAAGGCAAAGTTCTTTACATGCTTACATTGACAGAAAGCTGAATAAATTTTCCACAACTTGTAGTAATTTCAAGTTGTGCGGAGGCCTCTATAGGTACAAAAATCAAAATCAAAAACGAACTTCCGTAATAGCTTTAATAAAATTTCGATTTCAAACTCATTTTTCAACATTAAATATGCTGTAGATCAACTTTTGGGTCATCTCACATTATTCGAAATTTATTTCTCAATATGACAATGTACATATTGTAACCCCAAGTACGTTAATAGCCGAGATAATACACTGTTTATGACACCCTATAAATCTCAAAAAATATTGCCCAATTCAAATTCTCGAACTTCCGGTTTGTTTAATAGCCACCTAGCGGCAGACCAGTGGCTCCCGGGCTTTCAACAGTATGTTGAGTTATCTTTTTCTGTTGCCCCCATCCCCCCCCCTCTCTCTCTCTCATACCTCATACAAACTACACATCCCTCTTTCTTTTTTAATTTTTCATCAATATTCTCTACCTGCTACTTTCACTGATTGCTCTTTTGTAAAATGCAGCAGCTCTCTCTTCATCTATGGCATCTGTTGCAGCAATTCGACCACTAGCCTAGAATGTGTAAGTGCCATCGTGGAAATTAATGTTGTCAGGCATGTGTGCAAATCAATTTTTGCTTTTGATGGGTATGATAGGATAGGCCTAACGAACTATAAAATGGCAACTGTATATGCGATTTGATTTTTTTTCATTAAAGTTATAATAATAATGCACCCTAAAATTATAGGTTGGAGTTGCCTGTTACAAACACCAAATATACCAGTAAAACAATGTGATGCATGCACAGTACATATGTACTAACAGTTGCTAGTAGTGCAACTTATGCTTTAACTTTAAGAATTATGGCTGGATATAGGTTACATATAAAGTTACCTTTTGCTGCTGATACTGCTCCTTCATGAAATCACTTAGGTCTGAGTTCATCCCTTCTCCATTACTGCTTAACTTTTCATCTTTCGCAGGGGCACCTGTCGGTTTCCCGTCCGCCATTTGTAAACAATGCCAAAGCGAGGCTGCAGAGTCGGCAGCCCTTTCAAAGCTCCAGCAAAACAAACATTGTAATCCGTTTCCGCGCCACTCAGTTGAAATATAAACCATCACGTGGCAAATAACCCCCTCTCCAGTGTTATTTACAAAGAACTTAAAGGAAGAAATGACAAATTTAAATCGAGTGCTTCAGCGAAGTCGGCATAACTGGTTGCTAAGTTGATAGCAGAACTCGGCCATCTTTGTTTACATGTGACAGGGGGGATCTTCCTATTGAAAAATTAAACTCAATTTTCCTCATGTATTCCGACGATGACAGCTCAACAAGCACCCCAAAAGGTGCCTTTGATGTTTATAAAGCCGAGGCAGATGTACTTTTTAAACAAGGAGAATACAAAAAAGCAATAGACAGTTACGGGAAGGTATGTATTGATTTGCACTTGGATCTCTGTTGACTTTATCGATGTTTAGTAAATCTTTCTTTATTTCCCTGGCCTGGATAAGTTTACTTTGTTCTTAATCTATTTGTTAGGTAAGATATTGGTTGGATCTATCAATTAATCGCATTAGCGCACATACGGTTTATTGACGATGGGGATTTCTGTCAAAGTTACAGATATCGATCCAATTTTCTGTTTACTCCGGTTATCGGGCGGTAACTACACCTTCAGATATAATTGAAAGAACTTCATGGCTTAGCCATCGTTACTAAGACAGAGTAAATCATTTCGTGGATAGGAGTGATTGTTTTCTCATTATCAAGATTTTCGGAATTTGGTTCAAGGGAGAGAGATTTTTCTTCACACAAATATTTGAGATCAAAATATTTTGGTATTTCACGTTACCAGTAGGAACATAAAAAAAAAAAACAAAAGAGAGGATCATTGTTCAAATCAACGTAGAAGGTTATTGGCAATGGCTCCTGGAAGCCCAGAAGTTGGTAAAAGGCTTAGGAAGCCTATGGATAATGAATCTGATTCAGATTCAGGCAGTGAACGCAACACTATTAAATTTGAGACACTTAGAGATGAAGGGGATCATTTTTTACATGTGTCACTCTTTCAAAAAGCTATCGAGAGCTATACCAAGGTGAGTGCATAATTATCTGCTAAGTAACAAAAGATGATCCAAGGCTGGATATTCCAGAAACTGACTACTCCAATCCTCATAATTATGATAAATGCTATTCTGGAATGCTTTTCTCAACCAGTATACTGAGTGCATGTAGATAGTTTGAACAATTTTAATTGCTATAATTTAGATATCTATACAGATATTGAAAAATGTTTTTTGTGATTTGGTACTTTTTTCAAACATTCAATAGTGCTTCATGCTTGCAATGGCGTCATTTTACAACTGAGGTAAAGAAAGGGGACTGTATGCAGGATTTTGCACTAGAATTTTTCTTTGGATTCACAACCATCTATCTGTTGAGTTCAAATCTCAAAGATACACTATGAATATGAATATTGCACATTTTTGTGATCACTTTTTTTTCACATCATACAAGGCAGGTGAACAGGTCCATGTACAAGAACATTCATTCCTATTTCACTAAGATGCATAGATCCTAATTTTAGCTGTCTAAGGACTATACAAATTATTTGAGTATTAAACAAAGATAACTTGCTGTGGGATACTTAAATTAAGACAGGTTAACTAAAAGGAAATTGGAAGAGCAAAGACTGCCAGGTCTTAATTGTATTGTCCTTTATGATGGTTGGACTTACATTAATCAAGAAGTTCCATTGTTGAAACTCCTTGCATTAATTATAACTGTCCCATAATCATATACAGTGTACTGTCATCTTTTTTCCCTAGAATACTGAATACTAGTGTGTCAATTATACATGTCTCACACAATGAGGCAAATTTATCAAACATTTTAGTGTCACAAGCTTGCATTTACATAGAAAAGCTTTTAATACTGCTTCCCTAATCTGTTTATTTTAAGTTTTGGTTAACTGGCTTCTTTAAAAGGAATTGTTTGTTTTCCCCACCCGTAAGCCAGTGCTGCAGTTTATAATGGTTTGGTTTCCACTCTCCGCTGCTATTTACATTTCGTTATGTTACAAGTTTGTTTAAACAAATTGTACAAATACAAGTTGCTTGGCATTTCATATGCAGTGTTTGGAACATCATGAACATATATGAAATTAAGAATAGAAGTTTTAAAACCCTGTCCAAATGTTATGTGTAATTAAGCGTAAAACAAATTCGGGAAAGGACTTTCTTTTTGAATTTAAACGTTCATACCAGTACATAGATTTTGAGGTAGCCCAAAATTACCAAAATATTTTTTAAATATTGAATGGCGTTATATTTTATTAAAATCTTAATTAAAGAGTATTTTTAATGTAATAAATTGTGTTTTCTATTAGTTGCTAGTTATACCCAAAACATTTTCCCAGGCATTAGTATAAACCCCAAAGATAGACACACACTAAGACAAACAGACACGCATACATATTGATTATTTTCCAAATATATATATATACATGTGCTAACTCACCCACTAAATCACTCATTGTTTTGTGTGTTATTGTTACAGGCATTAGGATTGAGCCCTAAAGATACTGACACACTGGTGTCCAGGTCAAAGTGTCACCTGCAGCTAGGAAATGCAAAGGAAGCATTACGAGATGCAGAGGCAGCACTCAGTGAAGACAAGGACTTCCATAAGGTATGTACAGTTAACAACTGGGTGACCACATCATAGTCCACTGTGTCATCAAAGGGTTGACATGTATGTTATGAGACATTATTTTGTTCCTCCTTGTCTTCAGTACGTGTGCCAATAGGCTGCAGTTCTGTGTCATCCTTTCACATTGTAAAGTCTATTGAACACATTTGGATTTTCAACTTTGTAATTATTATTATGTTTATTAATCACTTCAAAAATTTTTATATGCAGTCATTATTAGTGAGCTCTGAGACTGTCAGACTCTTTTTTATATATGATATATACAGCATTGTGCATGTAAAAAAAATTGTACTTTATATATATATAAGTACAATTTTTTATATCCCCCTTTAAAGGGTTTGTTTCAAAAAGCGGAGGCCCTTTACCTCATTGGGGACTTTGAGACAGCACTTGTTTTTTACCACCGTGGAAATAAACTTCGTCCAGAAAAGCAAGAATTCCGTCTAGGAATCCAGAAATCACAGGAGGCAATTAATAACAGTATTGGCTGTAAGTGTCATTAATGTTATGAAAAGAATCAGGCAGTGAAATATATTTATTATGTTACATTTATGTTCCAAATTAAATAAAGGGGATATTTAATTTTGTATGATTGCTTAAATTATTTATATCATGTACCTACTTATTATTGCTTTTTTTGTGTCACTACTTTAAAAAGTTTTACATAATAGTTATTTTCCGAAGTAACAGAATTAAAGTTCATGTGTATTGTTTTGTTAAACAATTTAAAGAATGTATGATACTTTTATGTTTCTTGTGAAATACAGGTGACATCGAATGCAAATTGTAACTTTTTTCTTTAACAGCTCCTGAGTCTGTCAAACTAGAGAACAAGGGAGACCTGTCCTTTTTCTTCCAGAAGGATGAGGTGAGGTGATCCAGTAATATTGTGATTGCAATTGCACATATTTTCTGGCAGTGAAACTAAAATATTTTAATATTAAAATAATTCATTCTTAAAATTGAGACATAAAATATGTTTTGTTGTATTCAACAGAACGCTGTAACAGATCTCTTATAATAAAATAGTTTCTGATGCTGGAATATTGATTTTATCAGCTATAATGGATACTCTGGCTACTGTATAATATGAATGTCTTGTTTATTGTTTGATTTGTTCCTTGTTTAACAGGAGGAAGAAGAGGTAGTGTTAATTCTCTTGACTTAAGGTTTTACAGAACTGTCTAATGTTTTGCTGTGGATCTTCTGTACTTGCTGGGATTTTTTCAAGGAAATCATTTACAACATTTAAGATATTTATATACAATAGCACAAAACTGCTTGATTTGTTCTTTGATTGCCTCATTTTCCCACTTATGTTAAAAGTAACTCTTTTCTTGCCTGAAGGGTTAATTTTTTTACAAGGGAAGCTATGTTTCTGGAGCTGAACAGTGTGTGTGTGGGTGTGTACGTGCTTGTGTGCTTAAGCATTTGGTCTTATGCTTAGCACATTATCATACTTATTATTGGAATGTGCAAGCATTTGTGCGACTGGGAGAGTACAAGAAATTTATATTAGTAACTTGATCAAATTCTGACAAACTAGAAATTACAATGTAATACAGCATTACTTCTTTTTTCAATCAGTTTGAACATAACACTTTCACACTACTAAATTTATATTTAATTAATACTGTCCATAATCTATTAAGATAAAGTCTTCTAGTTTATTAATCAACTAGCCTTAAGTATATGGATGATTGATAATGAATATTAACTAACTCATTTTCCAGAGGAACAAACCTAAGGGTAGACCTCAGAGACCTGAGGAGGCTGAAAGAAGGAAACAGGAAGCCAAACAGAGGCAAAGAGCCAGGTCCCAGAAAGATGCTAAGACTGTTAAACAGCTGTTAGGAGAATTATATGCTGATAAAGAATTCCTGGAAAGATTGTTAGTGGATGAGGGTGAGTTGATGTTCTGAGAGTTGTTTCCTAGTTAGTGTTGAGGTGTATTCAAAGCCATACTTAACTTAACCAGTACAGTTAGTACATTTAAGTGACATCATCGGTCTCTTATCTTATCGGAGACCTTTTAAAATTTTGAAAATCCTGTGTTAAGCTACAATGTATTTAGTCATCTGAGAATGTCAGTGAGACATTTTATGGTTAAGGTTTATATGGTTCTAGTGGCAGATGCACCTTCTCTTAGAAACAATCTCGCAATGCACATGTAAAACTTTATGATGTCTGTGATTGATTTAGTCAGTGTGCTTTTTCTAAAAGTAGTTGATGACATCTTTTGATATTCTGTCAACAGTTCATATATTGGTATCTCCAGTAATACTAGTATAGAATGTGATTGTTGCATGATATGTAATCATGTTGCCTCTGCATGCACAACAGCTTCTCTACCAGTACCTGCTCCTTTCCAAATTAGAAAAATATACCAAATGATGCATGTGAAAAAAAATGGCGTTAGTAGTCAAATATGTCTTCTTGATGTCTGTTATAAAGAGTACAAAGAAAAGCTTAGGAATGAGTGTCCTCGCTGCCGTCTTCAAAAGACCAGGTGTATGTGTCTAAAGAGAACCCCCACAGGAACTGGGCGTGTTAGGCACAGGCGGACCCAGTCAGAACCCATACACACCAAGAAGCCTCTGCCTCCCATTAAACAGAGGAAAGTGGCAGACAACAATGAAGGTTCTCAACCAACCATGTTGATTATTTGTTCCAATTTTTGTTTTTGTGTTACTGTTTGCTTACTGTGAAATATGATGTAATGTGTTTCTAATAAAAAAGGGTCTTAATTGAATAAAGAAACATTTGACCACCATACCCTTACCTCTACTAAAGCACATTGCATCAAGAAACACTAAAACATTGATTATTTTCATTTTACTTTGGCATGTCTCTGTCATGTTTTTCGCCATTATTTAGGTAATATATTGATATATCTTTGCTCTCTCTGACTCTGTCCTTGTGAAACACTATGCTTTAGATATTTTGTTTACAGGGTGTGTGTCAACCAGTTTGCAGAGCTGTCATGCTGGTTTTTATTGATTTATTACCAATTATTTGCTTGTTACCAGAGGGCAGTGCTGTCCTGCTGGTTTTTCTGTTAAGCAGGCAATGAACTTCCAGCATTTATTTTCATTGGATTTTATATAGAAATGCTTAATAGTCTGATTTCTTAAAATGTATCATGAAATTACTTAAATGGCTCATTACAGGATTGTTTACAGGATATAGATATACATTATTAAACCTGAGATGTCCCAGGGCCTGTAATATTTACTTTCTAGTGTAGACACCAATATAGTATTGTAATATTTACTTTCTAATGTAGACACCAATATAGTATTATAATATTTATTTTCTAATTTAGACACCAATATAGTATTGTAAAATTTACTTTCTATTGTAGACACCAATATAATATTGTAATGTTTACTTTTTATCTTAGGCACCAATATAATATTATGTTTACTTCCTGTTGTAGACACCAATATAATATTTTTATCGTGATAAAAAGTATTCACAAATTTCTCCTTAATTTTGGCCAATTCTGGTATCTAATTCAGATTAAATCTCTAACTCAGAAAACCTAAAATTTAGTGTTCCCTCACAATACCAAGTGTTTTAAAATCCGTATCTCACATCTTTTGCTGATAGCCTTCACTAGACAGACCAAGACCAACATGACCATACGTCAACTAGCCGAAGATGGTCTGGACTACCTGGACACCCGGACAGACTTCTGGCTACAGCAAAAACCCATCTATGCCAGGAAGAGGGACAAACTGCTGAGAGATGGGAAAGTAGGAAAAGGAAAGCAATCAAATCCGACTAAATATATTTTGAATAACTTAGAGAAGATAGATGAAGGTAAGGACCACTGAATGAGTGCATTCTTGATGATTCCAGTAGTGATAAAATAACAAAACAAATAAAACCTTGTGTCTAACTTTTTTTAATAAAGATAATCAGAAAAGATGAAAGATTTTACTGACATTTTTTCCAGAACTGACTTCTTTATTGTTTATATATTCCATTGTATTTTTTGGAGTCAGGTTGTTCTTCAAAAAGTATATCTAAGTGTCTGCAGACACTTTTTTCCACACTTTTTTCCAGACAAGTGTAACAACCAGCTATCACTTCTTATTCTAATACAATGTTCCATTTTCAGCTCAAAATAAAGGAAAACATGAGGAGAGTTTGAAACTTTCCAAGAAACTGCTAAAGTCACTTGACCACATGTCTGACAGTGATGTCAAGAATAAACCAGATATCCTGGCCAATATCCACAGCTGTACTGGCAATGCATATCTAGAGCTGAACCAGTATCCACAGGCCCTTGAACATCACCAGAAAGACTACGATCTGGCAGAAGAACAGTGAGTTATATTATCTCATTTCTCATTTGTAATTCTAGTATCTTTAAAGTTCTTTTAGCAAATGGTATACTTTCAGTTTTAATTGGAAATGGTATAGCTTCAGTTTGAGATTGATTGTTAGTTCAATCAAACATGTATTGCAATTTATGTACATTATAAAAAGCTAAACCGTTATTACAAGTATAGGAAATATACATATTGTTTGAAATTGATTTTTTAGTATTATTTGTTGAATTATTTCATATTTCAGTGAACTGCCTGAAGCAAAGTCCCGTGCTATGGATAACTTAGGTCGTGTGTATGCCAGGATGGGAGAGTTCCAGAAGGCTATCGATATGTGAGTCACATATGGGGGAGTGTTACTTCAATTATAAAAAACCAAAGCTTCATGTATCTAGAGAAATACATTTTTACATTTGGATATAAGGTACTAAATTCAGCAATGTTTTCATTTTGACATGGCAAATTATATTGCTTTAGTCTGCTTGCAAAAACTTTTTACTCATTTGCCAGATTGGGCAGGGAAAGATAGTATTGAATTAATGTCAAAGGAAAGAATAGGCCAAGCTTAGCCAGTAGGTTTCAGACTGGCAAAGCTCTGACCAGAAAGAAGAAGAGAAATACTTTATCTGCACCTTTATACTCAAGAAGATTATGAGCTTTTTTATGATACAGTTTCAAAACAGACAACTTAGAAAAAGCAATGCTCATACCTGACACACTGTGATACATCTGTTACTATATTCTCTGTAATTGTAGCTGGGAACAGAAGCTTCCACTGAGCAGCAGTCCTTTAGAGAGCACCTGGCTGAACCATGAAGTGGGGAGGTGCCTCCTGGAGCTGGGGAAGAACAAGGAGGCTAAGGACTATGGAGAGAAGTCCCTTGCTGATGCCAAGGAATGTGATGATGGAATATGGCAGCTTAATGCCAGTGTCCTCATAGCTCAATCAGAAGGTGAGGTTAGGGCCTTGATAGCTTGAAGTATCTGTTTTATATCTATATCTACCATATCAAAAATATTTACAGTAAAGATTATTTAATCTTACTGCATGAAGAAATGAAGAAATGTAAGATTTTCACTATCATTAGCTATTAGATTGTGATTTGGAGGATAACTTTTGGAATGCTTGCATTTACACCAAAAGCTACACACGTCTGCATATGTCTTAATTATAAGTAAGATTTTTTATGTAGATGGATTTTGACATACTTTTCCTTCTTTGCAGCAAAACTTGGTGATTACCAGGCAGCTTTAAATGCCTTTGAGCGTTCACACGATTTGGCGCGACAACAGGGAGACCGTGCAGCAGAGGTGGCAATTGAAAAAGCTATAGAGGAGATCAATGAGAAGGTTCTAAAAGGTGGTGTAATTGTTACATCTGCGTCTTATTTTTATACTTTTTTTAAAAGAAACCAACCTATAGTTTCACAGTCAGTTAATTCTTACAGTTAACATGCCCTACTTTTGTGTCCATCACCTGTTTTATCTGGAATGTTACTCTTCTCATAATTTACCCCCACTCTTATCAGTCTTATCAAAATGCTTGAAGACCTATCACACCTATCCTGTATAACATTCCCTAAGACACTCATACACTATAGATTGCCTTGCACACTTTAAAAAATTGTATTGTGTGCAATTTAGGTGAAATACAGGTGTGAGAATGCAGTGTTTGGTCTCTTTATGCCTTTAGTTTATTTTTGATAAATTTGCATTTGTTTCTTTTTGAGAGCATTTTCTTCTGTTTTAAATTTATTTTTGTTTTGCATGCATTTTGTTTCTATCACAGCTGTTGATTCCTCAGACAGAGGCAGTGTCAGAAGTGCTAGTGCAGAGAGAAAAAGTGTCAAAGATGGTCATAGTTCAGATGAAGATGATAGCAAAAGTCAGAAAAGTGCAAAAAGTGAAACTAAATCTAAAACTAGTGAAAAAGGTGACACTAGCCCAAGGTCAGAGAAGGGCCAGAAGGAGAAGGAGGAGGAGGATAATCAAAGTGAACAAGGTAGATTTGTAGATGTAAATATTAGCATAGTTGTACACTTCCCACTGCTTACCAGTTGCAACCATTGCTTTATAGTGTCAGTCCTAGCAGTACCTATTGTGGTTAGACTTTAAGTTTTTAGTAAACAATATCATTCCAGTGTATTGTAACATAAATCATCATAACAAGTGCTCATGACCAAAACTATATGTTAAAAAAAGCAACGGCTCAGCAATGCCAGCTATTGCTGAGAACTTTGCTACAAATTTTGTTTTTTTTTTAAACCTTTAAGGTAGTTTTTTAGATGTATAGATTTGTTTTCTTTTTAGTAGTTATCTATTGTCTAATTGTGATTCCGATACATGTAGAATTAGTCCACTATTGGTTAAATTCTTGGTGTAATTAGTAGCAGTTGTTGTACTATATTGTGTATATTAATACATAAGTGGATAACTTGGTAGTTTTGCATTCACCTTTACTTTATGCATGTTTTGTGTAATTTTCTTATGTATATGCTTCTTTGGAACCACCATTTACCCATAGAACTCTTTTGTTTTGTTATTTTTTACACTAATAATGTGTTAGAAGTACTTGTATTCATTTATACATTGAGAATATTTTTATAAGTACTTGTATTCATTTTTTAAATCAGAAGTAAACACAAGGTATATGTGTTAAATTATATATTAGGATACAAATTATTTGGTATATTTTGCATGACTATAGAGTTCATAGAAAATTCAATTTTGCACCTAATTAACCTAAACCTATTTCTATATATATCTGTGTGAACTAAAACAACCACTGTGTATGACTTATTTTTATCTACTAACAATTCTAAAAGAGAGTGAGGCCAGCCAGGATTTGAGACCTGAAGTCAAAATATCTGTAGCTTCTTCTGGGGGCACACTAAATGGTGACACAGGAAATGCAGCAGATATTGAAAATGACACATCAAAGGAAGACCAGCTCAGTCTGAGTGACCATCCCAGTGACACAGATGTGTTAGAGGAGACAGATCAGAATGATGACACAATGAACAGAGATGGGGTGGACACCCCTCCCTCTGCAAGTTCCAGTCCATTGCAATAAGAGAGAATATCACGCACCAGTATTCTGCAGACCACATACGGAGAGCTTTCACAAGGTTTTGCTGCTGTAGTCATATTATGTAGTTGATGTTGTAGCATTATACATGCATTGGTGGAAGAATTTAATTTTGCTTCATGTACAGGATCATGTTTGTTATAGTTCTTTTAGGTTAATGTACCAGTAGTTAACATTTGCCACATGTCCATAATCACTAGACTTTTACTAAATGTGTAAGTCTAAAATGTGATGTGTGATTTGATAAATGTCATAACATAGACTACATGTGCTGTAGGATACAAGTTGTAGAATTCTTTTGGAGACTCAGCACCCAGCTCCCTTTTGGTCATATGTATATGTATAGATTTGTGAATAATGTAACTTTAACTGAAAAAGATATTCAGCAGTCCTTGTGAAGAAATTAAAAGATATCAAAAAATAAAACAGATGAATTTTTTAAAGTCAAAATGCACAGACAAGAAAATGGGGCAGAATTTTGATTAAACTGTAGTATGATGCATGCAGATTAGAGCATGTTTGTAGATGGTTTTAATACAGGTGGCTTTGTATATATATATATATATAGTTGCAGCATAAGGTATACCTGTTATGGTCTGTAAAGCAGTAAAAATCTAGGATAGGCTATATGTGTCTCAGGGCATATGAACTGTAACATTGGCCTTGCTTGAAAGACAGATATTATTGCTAGCACAGTTGGTTTGCATGTTACTCCATTATTTATAGGATATTTGCATACTCATTAATCTCTTGTGTGTCCTCATGTTATTTCCATATATTTTCATTTTGTTTTGATTTCTGTGAAATGTAGTGCATGCAAAGTTTTAGTTACATTTTGACCATATCAACTGACATTATTATGTCAAAGTTATGTATATTTAGTACTAGTTAATAGCAATATTAACTCTTTAAATTTTTCAGATCTTAGTTTTATACTGTCATTNAAAAAGCACAGACAAGAAAATGGGGCAGAATTTTGATTAAACTGTAGTATGATGCATGCAGATTAGAGCATGTTTGTAGATGGTTTTAATACAGGTGGCTTTGTATATATATATATATATAGTTGCAGCATAAGGTATACCTGTTATGGTCTGTAAAGCAGTAAAAATCTAGGATAGGCTATATGTGTCTCAGGGCATATGAACTGTAACATTGGCCTTGCTTGAAAGACAGATATTATTGCTAGCACAGTTGGTTTGCATGTTACTCCATTATTTATAGGATATTTGCATACTCATTAATCTCTTGTGTGTCCTCATGTTATTTCCATATATTTTCATTTTGTTTTGATTTCTGTGAAATGTAGTGCATGCAAAGTTTTAGTTACATTTTGACCATATCAACTGACATTATTATGTCAAAGTTATGTATATTTAGTACTAGTTAATAGCAATATTAACTCTTTAAATTTTTCAGATCTTAGTTTTATACTGTCATTTTCAAGCAGCCATTCATTTTTTTCTGTTTGTCGTTTAGGTGAGAAAGAACCAGATAAAGCAGAGGATAAACCTGAACCTACAGCTGATGCAGAGGCAGATAATCAAACAGGTATGTAGGCTTATTCATGCTATTATTAAAGGCAGAAAATGCAGGGATGCTAATGTAGGTATTGAGTAATAAATGTTTTTTTTTTTTCCAAAAGGATTATTTAAAAAATGTTTGTCAGCTCAATATTACATGCTAAAGGAATAAGCTTTTCTAGATGACAAATGTACATACCATATATAGTAACTGTCGTCTTTTGTAAAGTACATGCGGTATAAATAATTTCATTTTTCTGAGGACACTTACATTGTTTTTTCTTGACATATGACCCAAAACAAAATCTCCTCAATAATTTTGAAAATTTTAGTTTTGTATAAAATAACTGATAGGAATATTTTATCGTTTCTCCAAATAATCAATTTTCTGTCATACTTAATATCTTAAATTTGTGATAGAATGAGCCAAGCAATTTATTTATCTTATTATCTGTTCCAGATAAGCCAGCCACAGAGGAGTCTTCCTTAGAGCCCCAGACTAAAGTCACAGAACAGACTAAGGAAGAGTAGCCCTAAAAACCATCTCAGCCATTGAGACTGTGAAACTCAAGTACAGAACGATGTTTATGGAGTAAACAACTCATCTGAGAGGCAGCTAACACTGTGCAGTATATCTATATCTGATTTAGTAAAATTTGCCTCATGCTCACAACTGCATTGCTGTATACTGTTGTAATGATTGTCATAGTATTGTAGACTTTGATTGGTATGTTGAATTTTCAAAATACCAGTTTTTACCAGGAAAACCTTTTTCTCAAAGATATACAAATAAGTTTAATTGGCACAATGATGCAGGTTTATAATCTGAAGTATGTATACAAAAGCAACTATTTTTTTTTTTTTTTTTTTTTTTTTTTTGAATTGTGGATGACTTAATCTAGTCTCAAACAAATATATATACTTCAGTACAACCAAACTTAACATGCAACTTTCACTGAAGCCAGGCCAGGTACTGTATGAAAAAGGCAGATCACTGAAGCTGAAAAATATCCTTATGGACTTGCATTCCATGACAAAAATGTAATCATTGCATAAGAAAGAGGCGTTAGAACATTATATATTATAATATAATGAATTTATATTCATAAATAAATAGAATAAAAAAAAACTAAATAAATAGAAAAGATGGTAGCCAAGGAAGGCAACAGTAGTGCAATGTTTTCTTCATCACACCCGTTTTCCTTCACACATTGACCTACTCGAACATACATGTTATGTCAGCAGTAAAATAATGTATAAATCTGTAATACATTACCATAATACTGTATCCAGTGAACCACAAAAGTTAACCTCATATAGCTGGAAACAAATATTTAAGTGACTACTAGTACAAAACGGTTTAGTACAAGTGTGATATATTTTTGTTTCAAAGAGATAGTAAATATTTTATTTCTATGAAAATGATATACTATATATAATTTTTAAAGTTGTTTAATGATGAAGTTTAATGTTAAAAAGGAAGTTTTTCTTATTGTTGTATTTGGAGGTAAAAGTGGTAGAAATGCTTGCACCTTGTGGTGGAAATAACTGATGAAGATAAGTGTTACCATACTGTCCATTTGAAGCTACAATGTACTTTTCAGGAAGTTGTTTTGTTGAAAGAATATTATATACACATAATTTTTGTATTTTCTCTTAACTACAGCTTATGTTCTTTATGATACTATTATATGCATTGCTCAAGACTATCAAAAATTATATGAATTAATCAAAATATGTGTGGCAATATCTTTTCTGTATGTAGCTCTGTCCAACAGTTTACATGATATATGTAACATGATATTTAAGTGCAATTCTATTACATGTGCACCTTTGCTTTATCTTGATTATAATGCAATATATATTACCTGTAGTTTGAATTAATATCCTTCATACAAATATTTTATATATGAAAATTTTAGGGAGGGATAGTAAGAAGTGTATTTTATGGCACAATAATGGCTATGATCGATTTTACTTAAGTCATAGACATTTTTCCTATTATTCTCCATGTTTGTCCAGATAGCATTAAACCATATCTAGTTTACTCCGTCCAAAGAAATAAACATGATTATTTTGCATCACTAATAGCTTGTTATGAGTTGTGTTTTGACACGTGTTAAAATGATTAATAAATTAACAAGCACCTACAAATGAAAATGCATTTGAGGGACATTAGTTCCTAGAAAATAAACAAGGCAGCCAAGCTGTCAAATGTACAGACAAAAAACAGATAATAATAATGCACAAAATAGGATAATATAACATAATAATAACATGGACATTTAAAAAATTTGATTTTCACTGGGCTTCATGCACGTTGGAGTTCGAAGCCCCACAATGAAAATGCCAATATGTGAAAGATGAAAAATTTACAAAAATGTACAACAGAAAAAGAAGCCAATTAGACTGCTTTCCCAACCCAGGCTGCATTTTAGTTTTATGTTTCTTTCCTGTGAGTTAAGAAGAGTGATGTTTTTTTTTTCAATGGTCACTATGGAGGCAGTGCCCAAAATCGGGTTTTCTTCATTTTTGATGCAATATTACATTATGCTAAACAGCATAATGACCATCAATTTTAATAATTAAAAAAATATCATGGATATTCAGAAAATGCGACTAGCAAAGGTATTCAAGCCCATGGAAGTTCAAAGTCACACCTTGAAAATGTCAACGTGAAAAAATTAATTCTAACAAAAAAACTATATTATCACCAGAAATGTTAACCAACAAAACAGTTTTTCTAATTTAAGCTGTATATCCTAGTCCTGTATTACTTTTCTGTAAGTTTAAGAAGAGTAAGTGACATGGTTTTCCTTTAATTGTCACTATGGAGGCAATGCCAAAAATAGGATTTTCTTCATTTTTGATGCAATATTACATAATGCTTCACAGCATAATAACTGTTCGTTTTGGCCAAAAAATGAATTTTCCTGGAGCAAACAATTTTCCCATATACTTACCAATGGTTAATGAATTCATTTCTACATTCAAAGTTAGTCCCTGATTTTTTTCTAAAAGTTTTTTTTTTTTTTTTTTTTTTTTTTTTGTGATAATCTCTTGAGAATAATAAAAATACCTAAATTATTCGGGACCCTTTAGAAGGCCCCTAACCCCATGCCAAGTGGGTGTGTGTGGGGTGTGGAGATCTGTGGAGGGTTGGTTTTCCGTCCGCCTGTCATGCCAGATTTCAATGGGGACATTCAGAATAGATTAACCAAGTCCTAATTGATCCACCGACTAAATTTGGTCAACCATACTTCAAAAGTGATGCCACTGATTACTGATGGTCTCCCCGCGCCTCCACTTGTGCTATTAAACAAATTAAATCTCGGCTCCGAGGTTTAATTGCTAGGCTCCTACAGCGACGGCGCGTGTACGAGGCGGGAACCATAGAACTAGCGGCAGCGCTTTTGAAGTATGGTTGGCCATATTAAGTCTGGGGATCAGTTAGTACTTGGATCATCTATTCTGAATGGCCTTAGTGCGTTGAAAGGCTCATCAAATCAGTGCATCCCCCGTATGATAATTAAGTAAGCTAAGCACCTTTGTTATAGAGTTCATGGGACAAAGAAATTAAGGCAAGATATGTAGTTAATGGGTTCTTATATTATTTTCATTGCACTGTGCGTAAATGAGACAAAATACCTGAATTATCAACGAAACTAACGTATTGCTTCTTCAAGTTCTTGGAAGTTCAACCCCCTTGAAACTCCAGGGAAACACGAGAGATGTCCCTTTGGTATAACAGTTATTACAATTATTAATCATAAACACTTATTGTAACAGTGTTCCATGAGAAAAACTGTAGCTTTACATAAAAAGCTGAGACCCTTAGGACTTCGTTACGTGTTAAAAAGAACATGTAACATGATTTGTAATTTTAAATACTAAATGATTCAGGATTTTACGCCGAACATTGAAGGTAGCTTTAGAGTAAAACTTGTAATTTTTTTTCTTTGTCGATGCAAACGGTCTAACGTTGTATTTCAGTTCACCCCTTATGTTCCAAAAAGGAGCTAAATGACCTTTTTGGTTCAGTCTAAGAACTAAACGAATACTCCAGATTATTCAAATTCCGCGCTTGATCTCCACTTTCGAGCCTCTTTTACAAGTGGTTTCACACTTGCCATTTCTTCAAAACGAGACTAATCTAATTGTGAGATTAAGTAAAACGCGCGTAAATTAATGTATAAAATTGGAATTTAATATATTTTTCTTCTCTAAAAATACATCTTTAAATTATCAGATGCAGCACGTGTAATTTTTACTTTTGATGTCATATATGTTTATATCAAGCAACACGTCGATATCTAAATAACATTTATCAAAAACTTTCCCCTTCAAATCTACGGCTTGCATGTGTCTTTTTCAACAGAACCACGCTGCTCAACAATGGAAGACACGAACGGCTGCGAAGGAAATGGGGAACAGCAGTATGATCCATCTGCTGAAACATACACAAATAACACAGAAACAGAAGAACAAACTGAAGTGCAACCAGCCCAAGAAGGAGAATCAGGAGACACATGTGAATCTGAAGAAAAACCAAAAGATAACGAAGAATGGTGAGAGAAAATGCCGTCCATTTTGTATAACGCCATTTGCAACTTTTCCCAGGGCTTTTGGCCGGTTAGATTTTTTCATTGAAAAAAGTAAAACGGTCCCTTTTTGTCGTTTTGTTAAGTATTACGAGTTGCCTGAAGAAAAAGGCACAGAGAACTTCACTCTGAGTCGAGTCCCCAGTTTCTTTGTTACGTTTGCATTCCAAATTTAAAATTGGGTCAGCGATTATTTGTAGCATGTCCTTTAAAGAGAGCCGGTCATTGTTAATTAATTAAAAATCTATAATTCTAGTCATATTTCGTTTCATCTGAAAAAATGGGTTTTGACTTATTATTTGGTAAATGATTGCCAAACCAGCATAAATCCTGTAAATTTTAGCAAAAAGCAGAGGAAACACAGTAGAGAATGGCCCATTTAAATTGAATAATAATTTATTCACAGTGTAAAGGATGAAAGCTTTCAGAATTGTAATGGTTTGTTGCATGTTGTTTGATTGCCTTGTTTTGTTAAGGTGGATCACATACCTCCCTATTTTTATTATAGTTTGAATTGATAATAATGATAATTTTAAAAAAGCAATACTTTTGAGAAAGCTATTTTTTAACTTGTAAGCCTGAGAAAATAAAAGTCACAATTTTGTTTGAAATGTGTTATTATTTTTCAGCAAATTATTTGTTGGAGGATTAAGTTGGGAGACAACAGCAAGTGAGTAATTTTTGCATTCTTATAAAAATTCCGAAATAAACCATACGTTGCTTATTTTTACCTATTTAATTATGTTAAAGGTTATGTTAGAATTTGAACCTTAGAATCATTTTGCACAGCTCTTAATGTGGTACCTCACAAAGTTACAGTACTTACTGTGCCACTGTGTAAGAGAACAAGTGTCTTTTTCTGTGAAAGTAAATCGGTTAACCCCTCTCTTATACAGGGAAAACTCCTTAATTTCCATACTTGATATTTTTGTTGTATTTTAGAGGATCTGAGGGAATATTTTGAAAAGTTTGGAGAGGTGACAGACTGCCAACTTAAAATAGATCATCAGACTGGAAGGTCAAGAGGGTTTGGCTTTGTTACATTTAAAGAAACAGATGCTGTCCATAAGGTGTGGAAACATTTTATGAATCAAAGTATATCACAACTAAACATAAATCTGTATTTTGAAATGAGAAATTCTGTATACATTTGGTACATTTCATCAATTTGTTATATTTCATCAAAACTTGTATTAAATGGTCATATTTGAGTCTTCAATTGAGTATGTTCAGATTCCTCCAATTTTTCAGAAGGATATTTGTACCACCAGC